TTAGCTTCTGTGGTATCCTTTTGTCACATAGAACACCAGATGCTTAGTGCCACTCCATCCACCCTGCTTTGATTTTATGGCAAACATCTTCATCAATATCTCCGTCTCTCTATAGCATTGATCCTAAATATCGAAAGGTATCCTTCCTAGGCACTACTTGATCTTCCAAACTAATATCTTCCTCCTTCCGAGTAGTAGTGCCGAAGTCCGTCTTTCATCAACTAGCACTAAAATGGTATACTATGTCTTTTTCAGCAAAAAGTGTAAGGACTGTTTCCTTAGAGGATAGTAACTCAAATGGTAGCTCTTCAGTTTGCGATAAAAGGTTCCTGAAATAAGAAGAGAAAAAAACAAAGACCGTCACAAACAGATTCTTAGGTTACAAATATAAGAAGAATTGTAGCCTTTGCTACCACTGCATTCTAAATCATACTCTTCTATAGTATAATGTCTACAGATGTTAAAGATAATAGCATTGTGTGCTGAAAATTTCGATTATATCTAAATGGTGATCTTGCGTGAACCTTAAAAAGACCAAATTGGTGATACAAAGAACCAAGACATATTATAGAAATTTATATTAGCAAGCTAGGATCAGGGAACATCAGCGTCACAGTACTAGGATCAGAGGCATCAAATGTTCTCTGAATGACTGAATTGAAATTTAAGTGAACTACTACAGATAGCAAGATTCTGACATTTAGCTTAAACGCCAAGGGATCACTGAATTTGTTCATCCTGTAACTTATCAGGGGCATGAGCAGGTGTTAGTAATATCAGTTCATTGGTAAGGAAGTTAAAGATACTGATAACCAGGATTGGTTGCCATCATCCAAAATGAATTTGCAGGTGGCCACTAGATTCTTATTACGTTCTTTCAAATAGCTGCCTTTGGAGCTTATATAGGCACATTATGTAAGTACCTGCCACCATTAAATGAGTAGGACTCCACGGAGTAGCATGGGTGGGTTCGTTTAACTGAATTACCGAGCAGACATCCGATGTTTACATATCCGGTTATTATAACTATTGTTCACTCAGTGACTCAACGATCACGGTTAAATCACAGAAAGCCAGCGGTAAACTAATACTGCGCCATTTTCATTTCATAAATCTTATATTTATAGGATAGGATGTACACGTTTGACCACATAGGAGCAAAGCAACAACATGAAAAAAGATATGCAAAAGGTTAATTATATAGTGCCTGTCCACGATCCATTGCCAGCTGGGCACTTCACACATGAAGCGCCGCTACTCTGGCCGGCCTCTAGTGTTGAAGATCACTTCGGTTTCATCTCCTCGATGGAACGATCATTATTATATTGCCATCCATCCATGTACAGGCTGGTAGCAGCCTGGGGAAAAGGTTAATTATATTTGCAAACAAACCCAGGGAAACCAGTGTTCTTCATTGACTATCTTTGTTGGGAAATTATTGAATAGGCTTCTAGCTAGGACATGCCGGCCGCCTCGCAAACTTTAATTATAGTCCCCATAGATAGATTTCCTGTATTTTCTCACTTCCAGCTTCACCAACCGAATCAGCTTGAGAGCATAATTCAGAACTCTACGTCAGATGTAGCCGTCCGAGCACCAAGCTTGCACTTAATCTTATCTTATAGAGTTATTAGTCTTCTCGAGTATCCCTTGCTTCGTATTATACTGTGGCGAAGGAAACCATGTGGTCAACAAGTGAGTAACGAAAGCAAATGCAAGTCGTGCCAATTAAATACAGTGTATATTCATCAATTAGAAAGCCCCAAATCCGAAATTAGGACCCGCCGGATACGTTCGGATGAGTCGCCTAGCTCAGTTGGTTCCTTCCTAGGGATGAGTTATAATGCAAACAATGGATATTTCGGCTCATTATAACATGTATATATACATATATATACTTGATTTTTTTTCTAACAAAAGTTGTGTATTCCGAGGAATACATTGGCATCAACGTGGCTCCGTCTCTGTGGGTGTCTGATGGTACATGCATTTTATCACCGGCAAAAACAAACTAGGGGTGTTAGGTTGCTAGGCACACTTCATTACGCTTCATCTTAGTCGAAGTATGGCAAGAACCCGTTATGTCCAGGTTTCCACGCTTGCACGCAGTGTCCACATTAGTCCGACAGTCCGAGTAGTGGTTTTGGATTGGGCCAGCACTACTTGCAGGAGGTGCAGTTGCTTCACCTGACGAAAGGGAGAAGCGGGATGCACGTATTGGGAGCCAAAAGCTGGAGGTTTATCACGCGTTTTATCGAGGCCACAGAGCAACATCATAGCTCCTATAGAGAGATGATGAAAGCAACATTTTATTGGGAGAAGGAATGGTGGGACAAGCACTTAGGATGTGATTGTTACATGTATCTCCGCTGTCAGACAAACTATATGCAAGTTCTATTTTGGTTGTATGGCCGACCACTCTATCCAGGTTCCAATTTTGCAACCATACAACTCGAGCTAGGCTCATTGGGAACACAGGAGATTCCCATTTCACATGGGCCAAGCTCACTGTAGATGCAATCATATGCATGCACAGAGTCAATACGCATGCAAGTCTATCTATTTTGCACCGGCTAACAAACAATGTCCCAAAGGAACCAGACCCTATATAGGCCAAAAAAAATAGCACCTATAACCATGCTGCCAGGCTCTGATGAGCATGAGATGAAGGAATCAAGCCGACGTGAAAGCGTTGTGTATGGCCTAATAGACAAAGCCGTCTACGTTTAAGCATGGCAAAATGTAACCCTAAATTTCTAATTATACCTTTTATAACTTGCCATAACTTTCTAAATATAATTTGCCACCTCTTTTTAAAGCTAGTTGTGATAAATTATAGCCGAAACCAAACAGCCGGCTCCGGATCAACCTTTCGAAAGCAGATGTCGAACCGATAGACAGACAGATGGACACTCCACGGTCACCTAATCAAGAGACGAGGAATATGGCCCGCTCGATCGATGCCTACGTGAACGTGAGTAGCAAGTAATCTGGCTGGCCTATCGAACATGGAGCTAGGTTGGGGAAGCTCCCGACGCATGCACGAAACCTCCTACGATCCGGACTCCACTCGAGTGGGAAGGAGTATACGCAAAAAACTGTATGGGATGAACAGCCAGCGGCAGTTATGCCCATGCTTATGCTGATCTTTTTTTAGACAAAAACATTGTGTTAAGAACAGGGCATCTACGATGAGATCGGGTCGGCCCTAGGTGAGTGAGTGGGTGCCGTGCAGCTTTTGCACCGAGAAATGAAGTTGACTCTTCTCAGGGCGTGTTTAGTTGGCGATTTTTTTTGAAAAATGATATTATAGCATTTTCGTTGTTATTTGGTAATTAGTGTCCAATCATAATCTAATTAGGCTTAAAAGATTCGTCTCGTGAATTTCATCTAAACTGTGTAATTAATTTTATTTTTTATTTATATTTAATGCTTCATGCATGTGTCAAAGATTCGATGTGACGAAAAATCTCAAAAATTTTTGCAAAATTTTAGAAACTAAACACCACCTCAATTGGAAAGAAAACGCCAAAAATGATAGGATGGATCGGGGACGGCACGAGAGCACTCCAGACGCAGAAACTAAAAGTAGTTTCTATTTTTAGGACTCCGCGTGAAGAAACTATTCTCCACGATGTAACTTTTCTATTCTCAGATCTGGCCAATCATTCACCGCCAACTCCCCCGGATCCTCTGCTCCCGCTTTCTTCCTCCCTGGCCTCCAGCACACGGCGCAACGAGCTCGGCACGTGACAGCGCGGTCAAGCTGCGGTACGGGTACAGGTGAGGCGGCCGCGAGCTCCGCAGGCGGCGCAGCAGGACGGCCATGCACGAGCTCCGTGGGTGGAGGTGCCGGGCGGACGCGGCGGCATGACCGGCGAGGTGCTCGTACTGGCTCAGACCAGAGACGTTGCCGACGTCGTGCCATGGCTGCTGTGCCTCCTGCCAACATAGCAGGCCAACACATGCCAACATGTATGGGCTCGACGACGGAGTGCAGGAAGGCCTCATGGAGGCCAACGCCCGTGCCGTGGCTGCTGTGCCTCCTGCCCTCAACGGACGCATCCATGGACAGTGCGGGTGACGTTCCTCAACTTGTCGAAGCACCCGTGGAGCCGGCGCGGCGCTCTTCGAGGCCGGCAGCGTGGGCCTCGTGTCCGTCGACCGGGACGAGCTCGCAAGCGACGCCGTGACGCTGTGCCCGAGGCTTGCGGAGCAACCGCCGGGGCGCGCGTCCGCGCGGATGAACTTGGCTTGCGTGCGCGGCCACGGTGCTGCCGGAGCTCGCATGCGGCCGGCAACCTCCTTCGCGGCGAGGCCTGGGCGCACCGGATCTGGAGGAAGGGGATAGAAACGAAGGTGCCCTCCCCAACGCGATTTCTGTCGTTTCTTCCGATCTCGATTCCAGCGAAGACAAGGTTTCTTGACGTCGTTTCTTCCCTTCTCCTTCTCTTTCCTTATTAAATCAGTTGCCACATCAGATTTTTCTTACGTGGCAGCTTCGTTTAATAACTATAGAAACTATCCTGGTATTGTATTGGGAGTGCCCTGAGTGACCGGAGCGTCCGGATAGCGGAGCCAGCCAATCTCATCAGTGGGCGGCGGCGGCGCCGGCATCTTACATGGCGGGCGATGGGATATTCCTCGATATCCTGCAGCTTCTTCCAAACAAAACTCAAAAGCACGAGAGCATTGGAGGCATAGCCTCAGCTACATCGTCCTCGCTATCCTGCAGCCAACTTGGAGGCAGAGTCCGCCACGTAGCACCACGTTGACTACTTGCCTTTTCTCCCCTCCCGTCGGGGTTGGGGGCCCTTTGGCAAATCTGCGGTGGTCGGGGCCTGCCGCCGCGACAGCGCCGTCCGTCCTCGGCTCCTCCGCTCTTCCGCCCATCCGTTTCCGTTACCTATAAATTCTATAAATTCCCGGCCCGGCCGCAAGCCCCGTTCCGCTCCACCAACCCGACGGCGAGGGAGAACACACACCGCAGGTCCGCAGCGATGCGTCAGGGCTCGCTGCCGCTGCTGTTGCTTGCTGCGGCGGCGGCAGTAGCGGCTGCCGCGGTTTCCGCCGAGCCGGCGTCGACGCTGTCCTGGCCGTCGCGGCCGGTGACGGTGCCGGTCGGGGACAGGGGCCACGCGGTGGACCTGCCGGATACGGACCCGCGGGTGCAGCGCCGCGTCACGGGCTGGGCGCCCGAGCAGGTCGCCGTCGCGCTCTCCGCCGCGCCCACCTCCGCCTGGGTCTCCTGGATCACAGGTACACCTCCCCGCACCCGGCACCCCCGCCGGCCACCACCCCACAAAAGAAAAATCCATTCTTTGGCCTGGATTCTCTCCTCTCTCTGCCTGCAGATCGACATCGACGGTGGCTCATCCATTGATCTGCCTGCAGGGGACTTCCAGATGGGCGGCGCCGTCAAGCCGCTCGACCCGGCGCGCGGTTGGCAGCGTCGTGCGCTACAACCTCGCCGCCGACTCCCTCGTCCACGAGGCCACCGGGAGCCGCTCGTGTACAGCCAGCTGTACCCCTTCGAGGGCCTGCAGAACTACACCTCCGGCATCATCCACCATGTCCGCCTCCAAGGCCTGGAGCCTGGGACCAGGTACTTCTACCGGTGCGGCGACCCGTCCATCCCGGACGCCATGAGCGACGTGCACGCGTTCCGGACGATGCCGGCCGTCGGTTCCAAGAGCTACCCGGGGAGGATCGCCGTGGTCGGGGACCTCGGGCTCACGTACAACACCACCTCGACGGTGGAGCACATGGTGCGCAACCAGCCCGACCTGGTGCTTCTCCTCGGCGACGTCTGCTACGCCAACCTGTACCTGACCAACGGCACCGGGACCGACTGCTATTCCTGCTCCTTCGCCAGCTCCACGCCCATCCACGAGACCTACCAGCAGTGCCGGCCCTAGGGTAGGGCACGAGGTGCGACGGCCGAGGGCCCAAGCGGAGGAGGGGTTTAAGCCTGGGTATACAAACTCCCAGGTCCTATAGTTCATTAGGCATTAGCAAACTAATGAGAAGAAAGACATAGAACGGTCCAAAATGACAACATCGGTATTTTTTTTACCTAGTTTCCTTTCCCCACGGGCCTCGGGTAGAGAGGAGACGAGGAGTCACGCTGCACACAGCACACTCTGATCGTGAATTCACGACGTGCGCCTTATACACGTGGAGCTGGCGAGCCGCGCCGCCGCGAAGAGCTAGACTACCAGAGGCACGGACACGACACACGAGAACGGCGACCAGGCAGGGCTTCATGACGACGACATCTTAATTCTTGGCTTCTTACGAATTACGATCACCGATCAGTTGTTTAGGTCTAAGGTATTTTTTTCTTTTTATTTTTAATCCAAATTAATTATTTGTATAGTATTCCAGACTTGTAGGACTTTATACCTGTATAGTCATAATTTTCTTCTAATTTAGGTGTTAAAATTTTAGAATGTTACCTAAGAAACATTTGTGGTGAGAAAAGAAAACGAATATATTATTTTTTTACTCTACATTATTCCTCGATAATTATCATGCATCTATAAATATATTGCTTAATCTACATTGTTCCTCGATAATTATCAGACATGTTACATTAAAAATGTTATTGAATTTGTTTTAATACATGATCAAGAGGGCTATTGCGATGAGACTGCCAGAGGTCCTTAAAATCATAGGACCGGCACTGCCTACCAGCCGCGCTGGGACTACTGGGGAAGGTAATAAGGTGTCTGAATTAACTCTGAAGAACGAACGACGTGTTCAGACTTCAGAATCAGAACAGCAATTATTCAGAATTTCTGAGTCTGTTTGATCTGTTCAGAGATCGATCAGAACAATGCTGGATGGATTCAGAGCTGAGAGCGATCCTCGTGCGTGCAGGTACATGGAGCCCGTGACGTCGAGCATTCCGATGATGGTGGTGGAGGGCAACCATGAGATCGAGGAGCAGGTTCACAACAAGACGTTCGCGTTCCCGTCGGAGGAGAGCGGGTCTTTCTCCCCGTTCTACTACTCGTTCGACGTCGGCGGCATCCATTTCGTCATGATTGCGTCTTATGCTGACTACAGCAGATCAGGTGAAATTTAACCTGATCATCGATCTAACTTAACACTGTAGGAAGAACAGTTGCTATCTCACAAGATGGTAGTGAGGAGCTACTTAATCCATCCCAAATTATAAGTCGTTTGACTTTTTTGACACCAAGTTTGACCACTCGTTTTATTCAAAATTTTGTGCAAAATATCACTTCTTTTGTCATGACTTGGTTTATTAATAAAAGTTTTTCAAGAATGACTTAAATTTGACTATATTTACACAAATTTTTTGAATAAGACGAGTGATCAAACTTGGTGTCAAAAAAGTCAAACGTCTTATAATTTGGGACGGAGGGAGTACTACATTTTTTTTTTGAAACGATTAGGAGCTACTACATGCATCAGAGCCAAAATTCAGTAAAGAGAACATTCCATTGTGCAAAGCATCTGATAGCAGAACAACTTGGAGTGCTCAGGTGCGCAGTACCGATGGCTGGAGGAGGACTTGGTGAAGGTGGACAGGTCAGTGACGCCGTGGCTGATCGCCGGCTGGCACGCGCCCTGGTACACCACGTACAAGGCTCACTACAGGGAAGCCGAGTGCATGAGGGTGGAGATGGAGGAGCTCCTCTACGCCTACGGCGTCGACGTCGTCTTCACCGGCCATGTAAGCCTTGCCCTTGTGCCTCTACCGATGGTCTGAGCTGAAGAACGATTGAACACGGTGGTGTGTGATCGATGTCCACCAGGTGCACGCGTACGAGCGGTCGAACCGGGTATTCAACTACACGCTGGACGCGTGCTGCCCCTTGTACATCTCGGTGGGCGACGGCGGCAACCGCGAGAAGATGGCGACGGCACACGCGGACGATCCGGGCCACTGCCCGGACCCGGCGTCGACGCCGGACCCCTTCATAGGTGGCCGCCTCTGCGCGACCAACTTCACGACGGGCCCCACCGCGGGGCGCTTCTGCTGGGACCGCCAGCCAGGCTACAACGCGTACAGGGAGAGCAGCTTTGGGCACGGCGTGCTGGAGGTGAAGAACGACACGCACGCGCTCTGGCGGTGGCACCGCAACCAGGACCTCAACGCCGACGTCGCCGCCGACGAGGTCTACATCGTCAGGGAGCCTGACAAGTGCCTCGCCAAGTCAACCAGATTATTGGCCTATTGATTGAGACTATTGTTGCTCCTAGAGCTACTCTAGCTACTAGTTGCTTGCTAGAGGAGTTACTACAGTATTAATTAGTAGTAGTAGTACCAAATTAAGCTTCCAGACAGATTGCCCGGCCAGTTCTTGTTCTTGGGCTCTTGGCAGACTACTCGAGATGAAATAACACATAGCAAACTAATCCATCAAGTTAATTGGATAGCAAAGATTTTGCTGTCTGCTTCTCGAGTTTAATCTCTCTGCCAGACTGAAAATGAAAATGCATATCAGCAATATGCTCCCTCCATCGTCCATCCCCAAATTTTGGATACAATTATAGAACAATACTCAATCAAACTATCTTAAAGTTGACTATTTTTTTAAAAAAAATATTAACACTTATTATACTCAATAGTCTAGTAGATTTGTTCAGATCCATACAGCTAATAGTTAGATATTAATAGAGTAAAGTACGCTAACGGTCCTTAAACTTGTGGCGCTGTGTCGTTCTGGTCTTCAAACTCTCTAAACGATTGTTTAGGTCCTTAAACTATGTTCGGTGTCAAAATATTAATAATTAGCTCCTTTTGATCCAAATAGTTTAGTTGCTGTGCTAGTGTCGTCTTACCTCCTGCTCAACAGGCGCAGGTGCAGGAGTGGCGGTAGCCGCAGCGCCCCGCGCAGCTGCCAATCCTAGGCAACCTACACCTGGTCGGCCCGCCGCCGCACAAGAACCTCCACGACCTGGCGCAGCGGTATGGCCCCGTGATGCAGCTACGGCTAAGCACGGTGCCGACGGTGGTGGTGTCCAGCGCGGAGGCGGCGCGGGAGGTGCTCAAGGTGCACAACGTCGACTGCTGCAGTCGCGTGGCGTCGCTGGGGCCCAAGTGCCTCTCCCACGGCCTCAAGAACGTCGGCTTCGCGCCCCACGGCGAGTAATGGCGCGAGATGCGCAAGCTCTTCGCCCTCGAGCTCCTCAGCATGCGTCGCGTAAAGGCCACCTGCTACACATGCGAGCAGCAGATGGACAAGCTCGTCACCGACCTCGACCACGCCGCCGCTACAACTCGACCTCAGCCTCCACTACAACATGCATATAGGGCTAAAAATACATGGGGAGGCTCCAAGGGTCCGGTAGAGGTAGTGGGCTTGAGCCCCTGCCGAGCGCACGCGATGTCCGAGCCCAATGGTGGAACCAGACAGGGGCCGAGACCAAGGTTAGACATGGAGACAACACCTTCAACTTCAACAATTCCTTCACTTAAAATAGTTACTGCTACCATGGATGCAAAAGAGGTATTCAAAAAATTTTCAGATGTTAGAGCAACTCCAAGAGAGTAGCCATTTGAGTTGTGAAATCTTATTTTAGGTATTTTTGGAAGAATCACGACTCCAACAGCTATTCTATCATGTTTTCCAAAATAACAAGTCATCCATCCCGCACTTCTCGTTGGGTAAAAATAGCAAGCCATGAAGGCTCGCCATCTACATGGTGGTGTGCTAGGGTTGGAGTACAGGAAACGAAGAAGCGAACCAATCTCAGCATGACATGTCAGCTCACTATACCACAGCCCAGATTCAGCGTCGGTCGGTGGGTCGTTATAAGCCGTTTCAGCATCTTACGGTCGGTCGTTATAAACTTATAACGACACATATATGAGTCGTTGATACTGGCGACGTTAAAAACTTTTAACGTCGGACCGACTTTTAACGTCGGACCGTCTAACGATATGCAAAAGATATAACGACAGATCTTCTGACGTGGTTTATAAACTTATAACGACGCACCGCCTGATGATATATATTTATAGCGACCCACTGTCCATCACTATGCATACAAATAATTAACATATAATATTATGTGCTACTGTTTATATTTTAATCATACAATCAACAGTAGCATCTCATACATTCAAATAACACTGTCATGAAACACATAAGCTAGACCAGAAAGAGCTCACAAGTTATATTAAATCCATCATAATTTGTCATGCCATTTTACACACAATTCATGGCAAACAAAAGCTAAGATGAAACAAGTTTGGCCAAAATGGTAGACGTACTAGAGATACGGTTCCACAACCCATATCTCATAGTTTGCTTCCACACTTTACAAAATGATCCACCTCTAGTAAGTCCAAACAAATGTTTTCATCTATAGCTAGGATGTTCAAAACACGTCATCATGAGCACTTTGATCCAATCAGTGGCTGCACTCTACTTCCAGCTATTTCCTCCCACCACCTGTAAATAAAAGTTGAAATTCATAAAGAAAACTCAACCAAAAACTTCATAAAAGGCACCAGTCAGCTGGAGGCACAAGCACCCAGCACAAGGCAGCAAGCGCACAATTGGTATTCATGGAATGAAAATTCATTTATGATGCATATTAATTTCAGATTTCATTTCACAGCCACCAGACAATACATTGACTATGGTTTCAACCTAGCAGGCACTATGCACACACCCACAACATGGAGGGATCACATCTACTCGGGCATACTGGCAGGATCACATCTACTAAATAAAGGAATTGTTCTTCCGGAATTTAGAATTTCTGAAAATATTTAGATAAATAATAGCAGTTCTCCATATGACTCTTCTACAACATGGCAACAATAGTTGTTTCTATAGAAATTGGTTTAGGTTATCACAGACCATCCTAAAATCAGCAAGATGCACACATAAAAAAAACATCAAGCACCACTGCATGTTGGTTAGATCATGTCAAGATGCTTGGAAGGGGCACCAGTCACCAAGCACTAACATGTAGGAGGTACAACTATACTCTAGTTTTCCATTCACACAATCAGCATGCTTGCTAGATCATGTCATTTTGGGCAAAGTTTCAGATTGCTAGATCATGTCATTTTCATTTTCATATGTACAAAGGTTCATAGTTTCATGCAAGATGTATGATCTCCTAAATGACATGTAGATGGAAAAATTCAGAATAGCACACCTGTTCCATGGGATGATTTTTTAGTCTTGCTGACCTTGAGCTGTTAGAAATATCAACAATTAGAAAATCTGGGCACTCATTACATATGAAAACGACAAACAATGACAAGTGTTGTTTGTTACCTCATATATGGCCATGCAATTGATGGTGTCCTTAGCATCAGACCATGTCTTGCACACCAGGATATGGACGAGGTACCTTTGCTTCCCTTTTCATCACATACACGATAACAACTTCACAGTGTTTCCTTCCAAGAGTGTGGCTGCACACATGGTGCTAGGATTCTATGAAATAACTATTCCCTTGGCCACAGTGTTCATCTCTTTGGAGTGCATATAGTATAACTTCGTTGCCACCTTCGAAACAAACAATGTACTTATGAGAATTGTATTCATTAAAAAATCACCATTGGACTATAAGCAAAAAAAATGAAAAACAATGAGAACATTACAAGGTCAGCATGTGAGATGCGATTTGCATCACCATTCCTTGATGGGGCTGCACCGTCGTGGCTAGGCCAGAGGGGACCGGACAAGCTGGGGCTGTAGGAATGGGGTTAGGCTGAGGTGGCTGAACGTCATGGCTGTAGGAATGGGGCTAGAGTGAGGGCGCTGCATAAATGAGGCTGCAGGAAAGGTGTTGGGCTGCACAAATGGGGAGCCTTTCGATCGGTGGGGTCTCTTTGGACTGGTGAGGCTAAGTTGGTCCCTCTACGCACAAGCACATATTCATACTCATTAGAGTTATCTCGCATAGGCACCATCTTCAAGAAATTCAGGAGCATGATTTGTCTGCGGACATAATTTTCTTCAGATCTTGGGCTCAGTAAGCAAAAAAGTGGGATGTTAGAGCCATTCTGGGACAACATAAGAACTTAGGAAAAACTTACGTGACATATTAAGCAAGTCAACTTATCTCAATCATATAAACTCTCCTAGTAACAAAAGAGTTCATGTGGTTAATTACAATCAACAACCGCCATGCTCAGGCCACGCAAAGTAGTACAGATAAGTACTCGGGACAAATGAAGTCCAAGTGTCACTTTGTGCAGTTATGGTGACTAAAATTAAGTATAAAAGACTACAGTCACTTTTCAGTTAGCCTAAATTATATATATAGCACCAGAAGCAAACAGCTAAAGTATAGAGGATGTACAAATCAGAGTATAGATATAGCACCAGATAAAGCAAACTAGCTATTGATGGATTAATAATTCAATTCAGAGGATGTACAAACCAGAGATATCATCATCTTCATCAGACTCATCCATAACCTCAACACCATCACCATCATCATCACACAGTTCCCATGGTTCACGAGAAGGGGTGGGTTCTCCATGTAAATTCCATGTTCTGCATACCCTTTTAGAAACCCATCACATATTAAGTGTTCGCGGATTTCACTAGCCTCTTTCCAGAAAGAGTTGGAACACTTTCTACAAGGACAAAGTATCTTGCTACCAACAGCTGCATTACTAAATGCAAAAGCTAAGAAACGGTTCACCCCCTGCAAATATGCCTTGCCATGCCTACATAAAAGTTTTATGTTAAATGCCCACTCTTGCTATGTATACCGCTTTCAGTATTTGCTATGTTCTTTGTATTTACCTAGCATCATCATCAATCCAGGTTTATCCATCAACCTTTATTAGGGACAACTAGAAGTGACCTGCAACAAGTCGCATCGAATTCAACACATTGTGCATATATATCATCAATTGCATCCAAAGATAACAAGCACACGGGTAAGACCAGCAAAGAACAATGGTAGTGAAGTGGTAGAGAGCACTTTACGATACTCTGAGTCAAATTCACGAGCTGGCTCCTACTACTTGGTGACAAAGCGCTCAGAGATGCTACGGCTTTTGTTAGGGCAAAGGTCCAAGGAGCAACTTATTCTTGTACGCCTCAGTCAACCACGAATATAACCTCTTTGGATAAAGGAAACCACAGATCCATGAATTAGCGAGTAATTAGGAAGGGAAGTATGTCAACAAATGTGGTATAGAGGGGGCTGGACAATGACCAAACATAAATAACATAGTATATTAATCTTAGTATAT